GAGGAGTGGGACAAATCCCTCCTGAGATGTGTGCAAACCTGGTGGCCAACTACAAGAAACGTCTGACTTCTGTGATTGCCAAAAAGGGTTTTGCCACCAAGTACTAAGTCATGTTCTGCAGAAGGGTCAAATAATTATATCCCTCATTAAAATGCAAATCAATTTATAACATTTTTGACATGCGTTTTTCTGGATTTTTTTGTTGTTATTCTGTCTCTCACTGTTCAAATAAATCTACCATTAAAATTATAGACTGATCATGTCTTTGTCAGTGGGTAAACGTACAAAATCAGCAGGTGATCAAATACTTTTTTCCCCCCTCACTGTTTGTGTGTGTGTATACACTGCTCAAAAAAATAAAGGGAACACTTAAACAACACAATGTAACTCCAAGTCAATCACACTTCTGTGAAATCAAACTGTCCACTGAGGAAGCAACACTGATTGACAAATTTCACATGCTGTTGTGCAAATGGAATAGACAACAGGTGGAAATTATAGGCAATTAGCAAGACACCCCCCAATAAAGGACTGGTTTTGCAGGTGGTGACCACAAACCACTTCTCAGTTCCTATGCTTCCTGGCTGATGTTTTGGTCACTTTTGAATGCTGGCGGTGCTTACACTCTAGTGGTAGCATGAGACGGAGTCTACAACCCACACAAGTGGCTCAGGTAGTGCAGCTCATTCAGGATGGCACATCAATGCGAGCTGTGGCAAGAAGGTTTGCTGTGTCTGTCAGCGTAGTGTCCAGAGCATGGAGGCGCTACCAGGAGACAGGCCAGTACATCAGGAGATGTGGAGGAGGCTGTAGGAGGACAACAACCCAGCAGCAGGACTGCTACCTCCGCCTTTTTGCAAGGAGGAGCAGGAGGAGCACTGCCAGAGCCCTGCAAAATGACCTCCAGCAGGCCACAAATGTGCGTGTCTGCTCAAACGGTCAGAAACAGACTCCATGAGGGTGGTATGAGGGCCCGACATCCACAGGTGGGGGTTGTGCTTACAGCCCAACACCGTGCAGGATGTTTGGCATTTGCCAGAGAACACCAAGATTGGCAAATTCGCCACTGGCGCCCTGTGCTCATCACAGATGAAAGCAGGTTCACACTGAGCACATGTGACAGACGTGACATAGTCTGGAGACGCCGTGGAGAATATTCTGCTACCTGCAACATCCTCCAGCATGACCGGTTTGGCGGTGGGTCAGTCATGGTGTGGGGTGGCATTTCTTTGGGGGGCCGCACAGCCCTCCATGTGCTCGCCAGAGGTAGCCTGACTGCCATTAGGTACTGAGATGAGATCCTCAGACCCCTTGTGAGACCATATGCTGGTGCGGTTGGCCCTGGGTTCCTCCTAATGCAAGACAATGCTAGACCTCATGTGGCTGGAGTGTGTCAGCAGTTCCTGCAAGAGGAAGGCATTGATGCTATGGACTGGCCCGCCTGTTCCCCAGACCTGAATCCAATTGAGCACATCTGGGACATCATGTCTCGCTCCATCCACCAACGCCACGTTGCACCACAGACTTTCCAGGAGTTGGCGGATGCTTTAGTCCAGGTCTGGGAGGAGATCCCTCAGGAGACCATCCGCCACCTCATCAGGAGCATGCCCAGGCGTTGTAGGGAGGTCATACAGGCACGTGGAGGCCACACACACTACTGAGCCTCAATTTGACTTGTTTTAAGGACATTACATCAAAGTTGGATCAGCCTGTAGTGTGGTTTTCCACTTTAATTTTGAGGGTGACTCCAAATCCAGACCTCCATGGGTTGATAAATTTGATTTCCATTGATGATAATTTTTGTGTGATTTTGTTGTCAGCACATTCAACTATGTCAAGAAAAGTATAATAAGATTATTTCATTCATTCAGATCTAGGATGTTATTTTAGTGTTCCCTTTATTTTTTTGAGCAGTGTGTGTATATATATATATATATATATATATATATATATATATATATATATATATATATATACATTTACATTTACATTTTAGTCGTTTAGCAGATGCTCTTATCCAGAGCGACTTACAGTTAGTGAGTGCATACATTTTCATACTGGCCCCCCGTGGGAAACGAACCCACAACCCTGGCGTTGCAAGCGCCATGCTCTACCAACTGAGCTATACAGTGTGTATGTATATATGAGGGAGGAGGATGTCTTCCCTGTAACGCACAGCGTTGAGATTGCCTGCCATGACGACAAGCTCAGTCCGATGATGCTGTGACACACCGCCCCAGACCATGACGGACCCTCCACCTCCAAATCGATCCCCCTCGAGTACAGGCCTTGGTGTAACGTTCATTCCTTCGACGATAAACGCGAATCCGACCATCACCCCTGGTGAGACACAACCGCGACTTGTCAGTGAAGAGCACTTTTTGCCAGTCCTGTCTGGTCCAGCGACGGTGGGTTTGTGCCCATAGGCGACGTTGTTGCCAGTGATGTCTGGTGAGGACCTGCCTTACAACATGCCTACAAGCCCTCAGTCCAGCCTCTCTCAGCCTATTGCGGACAGTCTGAGCACTGATGGAGGAATTGTGTGTTCCGAGTGTAACTCGGGCAGTTGTTGCCATCCTGAACATGTCCCGCAGGTGTGATGTTCGGATGTACCGATCCTGTGCAGGTGTTGTTACACGTGGTCTGCCACTGTGAGAACAATCAGCTGTCCGTCCTGTCTCCCTGTAGGGTTGTCTTAGGCGTCTTACAGTACGGACATTGCAATTTATTGCCCTGGCCACATCTGCAGTCCTCATGCCTCCTTGCAGCTTGCCAAAGGCACGTTCACGCAGATGAGCAGGGACCCTGGGCATCTTTCTTTTGGTGTTTTTCAGAGTCAGTAGAAAGGCCTCTTTTTAGTGTCCTAAGTTTTCATAACTGTGACCTTAATTGCCTCCCGTCTGTAAGCTGTTAGTGTCCTTAACGACCGTTCCACAGGTGCATGTTCATTAATTTTGTTTCATTGAACAAGCGTGGGAAACTTTAAACCCATTACAATGAAGATCTGTGAAATTATTTTTATTTTAACGAATTATCTTTGAAAGACGGGGTCCTAAAAAAGGGAGGTTTCTTTTTTTGCTGAGTTTATATATTACAGGTGTGTGTGCCTTTCCAAATCATGTCCAATCAATTGAATTTACCACAGGTAAATCAATCAAGTTGTAGAAACATCTCAAAGATTATCAATGGAAACAGGATGCACCTGAGCTCAATTTCGAGTCATAGCAAAGGGTCTTTTTTACATTTGATGAAAGTAGAGACTCAGCGCTAGAAAATTGTATATCATGCACTGCAGTTGAGGAACAATGGCAAAATAATTCTGCTTTCAAAGTTGATGAACTTGTAACTCCACTTTTGAGAAAATGATCCTTGAATATTTTGGTTCACCTACTGGAGAGTTCTTTGTCTACACCCATTCAGCATCATTCACACCCTTTTAAGCCTTAGCCCCACCCATCTCTTTAAGAAGTCACATGTGAGGCCATGTGCTAAACCCAGTGAGTAGTGTAGTAAACAACAAAATATTTCAAGACTTATAGTAGCCTACAATAAGGAAAAACTCCAGGTAAAAATACACTATCTAGTCCTTGGCCTATATCCTAATCTGACTTTGGTGCAGGTCATGTTCTTCACATTACCTCATTTAGATAACACACACTATATCAAATCAACGTATCAAAAACAGAAAGTGTCCAGATGCAAATATTTTATTATTAGATTACTCTTACCCGACACGCTTGTCTTAAATGTTAATGAAATGAAATAATGGCCATACACACCTAGTGAACTTGATGGGTCATGTAATCATCTGGAGTCTTTTGTTTAGACCTCTAGTTAGCTACAATGAGCCGGCATAATCCCAACTCCTACTACTACCAATACAAACATTGTCATAGCTGTAGTATGAATCTGTAGGTAGCTGAAGCTAACCAACTAGGTTCAATGTTAGCTAGCTAACATTAGGCTATAACTAGCAATACAAATGGATTTCTGATTCAAATAATATTACTACACAGATAATACATGTAACGTTAGCTAGCGAGCCAGCAAGCTAACGTTCGCTAGCTACCAGTATGCTTTAACTTGCAATGAAAACAACTTCTGACAAAATTACAAACGTATAATATCTGAAAATGTAGCTCTTACCCGTATACATGGATGAACGCTTCACGGCAGACTGGAACCATTTTAACTTTGTTTGTAGCTACATCTTGTTTGGCCAGCGTTGTCAAGTCACTCCGGTTCACACTGACTGTGGCGTGTGCAATAATTAGCCCATCACAACTTTTTCCAACTGATCTGTCGATAGCGCCTGCTAAATTCAGGGCATCAATGTTGAGAAAAGTAGCAAAACTTTAGGCTAATGTTAGTACTTTCTACCGCAGCGTTTATGAAAGATATATCAACACATACTGAGCAGCTCACATTATATACAGAGGCATGCTACATGGCAGACCAATCCAAACTCATCTCCCGGCATGTCCAGCCCCTCCGTTATCTCAGCCAATCATGGCTAGTGGGAAGGCTTCTTTTTCCATGGCTAAAACAACTTGGCTCGTAATTAAACTTTTTTTAAAATTATTATTTACGGATGGAATACACTTTTGTTATTAAGGTACATGAAAGATCACGTTCCAAAAAACACATTTTGATTTTTAAAAAAATAGAATGCCTATCCTGTGAAGTAGTGATGTGCGACATAGGCTTAGCTTCCTGAAACGGGTCACATATTTACAGGAGCTCTTTGCTTAGGCTGCTACTAGGGTGCCATGGTCACTACATAATTGGGGCTATTGATATTATTCTGTTGGGGTGTCATTGTAGATGTCTCTGTCAAACGGTAAATCTGTCAACTATCTATTGAGGGTCATATCTGAACATTATTGAATCCGTAGTGTGGGTTATCTAAATGATATTACAAGATGGTGAAATTAATTATTTTCCTTTGTTGTGAATGGGAAATGTGACCTAGAGTCTTTTGCTTCCATCGCCCCCTGCAGGATCAGTACGGCAACTACGTCATCCAGCACGTCCTGGAGCATGGCAGACCAGAAGACAAGAGCAAGATCGTGGCAGAGGTCCGCGGGAAGGTGCTCCTCCTGAGCCAGCACAAATTTGCGAGGTAAGGCAACAAAAATCGTCCCCTTTTTTTTTCATAGCTGGTGAGAGACTCGTGGAGATGTGCTTTCCAATTATTCCAATGAGGCCCACCTCCAATTTTAAAGTGACACTAGCCTCCACTGAGTGAGATGAATTAAGTTCATAGACAGACATATAGGGGCGGTTTCCCAGGTTTTTCAATGAAGATTCTTCCCCAGACTTTCAATGGAGACGCTCCATTGAGTTAAGCCGGAAGGACACTACACGTTTTTAACCCAATCTACGGGCTTCCGATCAGCCCCCGGCACATTTTTCAGAACAAGTAAAACTTAACGCCACAACCCGTAAAGTGTAAGCACATACCCTAATTTGCGGTTGATGGCTGCTTCCGGACACTTAGGGCGTCCTGATAATTTTCAAACATGTTGAATATATTCAGACATTATTGCCAAGTGTGAGCAGTGCTCAGAGCAGATGCGAGGCATGTCCCACCGTCAGCCAATCAGCTACTCAGAACTATAAAGATTCAGGCAGACGCTGTAAGGTCCCCACATGTAAGCTGAACAGGTATAAACATTCCTTCATTCCCATGTCCAACAAATATTTAAACTGTGCTATGTTACTACGCCACTGACAGAATAAGGGAATATGCAAAGTGTTATGTATGTGGCTATTTGAGAAGTGTATGATAAGGGTAACGTGCAATGTATTATGTTGAGGTTGTCTTATGTATACAGCAGTACAGTGTGTCTAAGACAATTTTCCTCTAGGGACATTAAAGTTCATCCTATCTTCACATACCTCACAAGTTAATCTCTCACACACACACACTAGCTGGGCTAGGTTACAAGTCACATTTAAACCTGTTCTTACCTCAATCTTTCTGCAAAATCGTTAATCCATATCGTCCTTGTTTCCATTACCAGTGCCCAAATTCGCTTCTTTCTTGCTTTTGTCTTTTGCTTTTTCTGAGCATTACAATCAGTGATGTAGTGCTATATTTTTAGGGACAGAACCACATTTTTAATTTAAAATGTATTGCGTAATTTCTCAATTAAAGTTGGTACCAAAATGTAGCCTATTGAATGATATACATTTTGAATATACATCACCTACAATGCATCACCCAAATGTAACAATTGCCTTTTCCTACACATAGTGGCTCAAATACAGTTGTTTATTTTTAAAATCCTCAAACACCAAATTAGGCCTACCTTATAAAAAATGATATGCCATCATCATTGTCAGTCATGAATGATAATTCTTCACATTTTACAGGTGAAGCGTCCATGCTGCATCTGCATGCCCAACCATTTGATCCCAATCAGTTTCATGGGAATTTACATTTCTATCTTATTCTTCTTGAATGATGTAGGCCAGGGATGGGCAACTGGCGGACCGCGGTGCGGCCTCCCTTTTGTAGGTCTTTTAAAAATATATTTTTTTTACTTGACTTACTGTTGCGAGTAAGAATAGTAGAATACACCAGGTGCAATTTCAAAATGTGGTTGTGCATCAGCAGGTTTTCTCTTGTTATGTCAACTTGTATCTAAACTTGTAGTAATCATGGTCAAATTACCGACCCGTGGGCCCCCATTGATTGATGTTTATTTTATATATATTTTTTGTCTCACTCATATCATATTAAAAACTGCAAACATTTGTCTCTGCCCCATGGCAAAATGTGTAGAATCACAGGAAATTAACTCTAAAACAAAATAATCTCTCTGCTGACGAGAGGGGCCACTAGAATGTTTTGTTCGCAAGGTAGGGGGCGCAACAATGTCGCTAAGGGCCCCCAAAAAGCAAGGGCCGGCTCTGACTGCATGTGTCGGTATGGTTGTAGGTATGCAGATCCTCAAGCCACCCTGATGAGTTTCGATTTTTTGCGGCCCCCACCCACAACAAAGTTGCCCATCCCTGATGTAGGCTAACTACTGTTTTAATCACATTTTACAGCAGAGGGAGTTAATTAAGCCTAGTGGCCCAGGCTGTAGAGTTCTGTCCGCATGAGAAGAGAAAAAAATGTGGCCATTCAGCACAATCATAATAAAATGTCATAAGTAGCCTAATTACATGGTGTTTTTGTTGAGTAGAGCCTAATTTTATACTATATTATATTTGGTTTATGTAGAATACTAATGAATCATTGAGATCTCACGAGACATTGATTCAACTTTCATCTAAACTTTATTAAACAAGCATAATTCTGATAAGTGGCGGCTGCACTACACCCCTTATAACAATACACATAAAGGAACACAGCATCTTCGTCTGCCATGATTTCCTTACTACACATGGCAAATATAGCCCGATTTGTATGTACTTTACAGATTTGACTAATTCACCAAGATTTGGCTTGACTGAATCGTTAAATGGGAGATGTTCTCTGATGGGTAGAGCCGTAGACCCGGCAAAAAAAGTAGTGTATTTTAGACTTGAACTGTTTAGTTCAGGACACCGGCCCATATAGTTTTGTTTTTAACTGAGCCCACGTCTCTCCCTAAGTAACGTGGTGGAGAAGTGTGTGATCCACTCATCCCGTGCCGAGCGGGGCCTGTTGATAGACGAGGTGTGCTGCCAGAAGGACGGCCCCCACAGCGCCCTGTACACTATGATGAAGGATCAGTACGCCAACTACGTGGTGCAGCGGATGATCGACATGGCCGAGCCCGCCCAGCGCAAAATCATCATGCACAAGGTTGGTTGGCATATACCATCTGAAGTGAATTAATGGTAAACATTTTGGTACATAAATAGCTATTTCTCATTGGACAAGTTCAGGTTAGTCCCTCCCTGTTTCGTCCCGTTTGGTTCCTAGTGAGTACACACCATGTTTCACATTGCTTGTTAATTCAGATGAGATTAATTTATGCCAGGTTCATGTATTGCCATAAAACCAAAGGTTGGTGGTACTTTAGATACAGCATTTCTAGTTGTTATCCGAATTCTAACTGTTACCCATAGGAGTCTCGATTCCATGTGATATGAAAAGTATTTTACACTGAACAAAAATATATACGCAACATGCAACGATTTTACTGAGTTACAGTTCATATAAGGAAGTCAGTCAATTGAAATGAATTCATTAGGCCCTAATCTATGGATTTCACTTGACTGGGAATACAGATGTGCATATGTTGGTCACAGATACTTTTGGTCATGTAGTGTATGTGGACACCTGCTCGTCGAACATCTCATTCGAAAATCATGGGCATTAATATGGAGTTGGTCCCCGCCTTTGCTGCTGTAACAGCCTCCACTCTTCTGGGAAGGCTTTCCACTAGATGTTGGAACATTGCTGCAGGGACTTGCTTCCATTCAGCCACAAGCATTAGTGAGTTCGGGCACTGTTGTTGGGCGATTAGGAATGGCTCGCAGTCAGTGTTCCAATTCATCCCAAAGGTGTTCGATGGGGTTGAGGTCAGGGCTCTGTGCAGGCCAGTCAAATTCTTCCACACTCATCTCAACAAACCATTTCTGTATGGACCTCGCTTTGTGCACAGGGCTTTGTCATGCTGAAACAGGAAAGGGCCTTCTCCAAGCTGTTGCCACAAAGTTGGAAGCACAGAATCGTCTGGAATGCCATTGTATGCTGTAGCATTAAGATTTCCCTAAGGGGCCTAGCCCGAACCATGAAAAACAGCCCCAGACCATTATTCCTCCTACACCAAACTTTACAGTTGGCACTATACATTGGGGCAGGTAGCATTCTTCTGGCGTCCGCCAAACCCAGATTTGTCTGTCGGACTGCCTGATGGTGAAGCATGATTCATTACTCCAGAGAACACGTTTCCACTGCTCCAGAGTCTAATGGCGGCGAGCTTTACACCACTCCAGCAGACGCTTGGCATTGCGCATGGTGATCTTAGGATTGTGTGCGGCTGCTCGGCCATGGAAACCCATTCCATGAAGCTCCCAACGAACAGTTCTTGTTCTGACGTTGCTTCCAGATGCAGTTTGGAAGTCTGTATTGAGTGTTGCCACCAAGGACTATTATTAAACACAACGCACTTCAGCACTCGGCGGTCCCGTTCTGTGAGCTTGTGTGGCCTACCACTTCTGCGGCTGAGCTGTTGTGGCTCCTAGTCGTTTTCACTTCACAATAACAGTACTTACAGTTGACCAGGGCAGCTCTAGCAGGGCAGAAATTTGCCAAACTGACTTGTGGGAAAGGTGGCATCCTATGACGGTGCCACGTTGAACTTTCACTGTGCTCTTCAGTAAGGCCATTCTACTGCCAATATTTGTCTATGGAGATAGCATGGCTGTGTGCTCAATTTTATACACCTGTCAGCAACGGGTGTGGCTGAAATAGCAGAATCCACTAATTTGAAAGGGGTGTCCACATACTTTTGTATATAGTGTACCTTTTTTAAAAAGGGGGCGTGGATCAGAACCAGTCAATATCTGGTGTGACCATTTGCCTCATGCAGCGTGAAATCACCTTCGTTTAGAATTGATCAGGCTGTTGATTGTGGCCTGTGGAATGTTGTCCCACTCCTCTTCAATGGCTGTGTGAAGTTGCTGGATGTTGGCGGGAACTGGAACACGCTGTCATACACGTCAATCCAGAGCACCCCAAACATGCTCAATGTTTGACATGTCTGAGTATGCAGGCCATGGAATAACTGGGACATTTTCAGCTTCCGGGAATTGTGTACAGATCCCTTGCGACATGGGGCTGTGCGTTATCAGGTGATGGCGGCAGATGAATGGCATGACAATGGGCCTCAGGATCTTATCACGTTATCTCTGTGCATTCAATTTGCTGTTGATAAAATACAATTGTATTCATTGTCCGTAGCTTATGCTTGCCCATACCATAACCCCACCGCCACCATGGGGCACTCTGTTCACCACGTTGACATCAACAAACCGCTCTGCCTGTACATTTGAAACCAGGCTTCATTCGTGAAGAGCACAATTTTCCAGCGTGCCAGTGGCCGTCGAAGTTGAGCATTTGTCCACTGAAGTCGGTTACGACGCTGAACTGCAGTCAGGTCAAGACCCTGGTGAGGATGACTAGCACGCAGATGAGCTTCCCTGAGATGGTTTCTGACATTTTGTGCAGACATTCTTTGATTGTGCAAACCCAGTTTCATCAGCTGTCTGGGTGGCTGATGAAGCCCCATTTACTGGCTCAAATAGCTGACCAATCAGCCTGTTGTTAACTTTTTGAAAAAATGGTTTGACCAGAGACAATACTATTTTACAGTAAACAAATTGACAACAGACACTTATAGGGAAGGACATTCAACAAGCACAGCCCAAATGACTGATTTGCTGAGAGAAATTGATAAAAATATTGTTTTGTTAGACTTCAGTGCTGCAGCTTTTGACGTTATCGATCATAGTCTGCTGCTGGAAAAACTTGTGTTATGGCTTTACACCCCTTGCTATATTGTGGATAAGAGTCACCTGTTTAACAGAACACAGGGGGTGTTCTTTAATGGAAGCCTCTCCAACATCATCCAGGTAGAATCAGGAATTCCCCAGGGCAGCTGTCTAGGCCCCTTACCTTTTTAAATTTTTACTAACGACATGCCACTGGCTTTGAGTAAAGCCAGTGTGTCTATGTATGCGGATGACTCAACACTATACATGTCAGCTACTACAGCAACTGAAATGACTGCAACACTTAAACAGCTGCAGTTAGTGTCAGAGTGGGTGGCAAGGAATAAGTTAGTCCTAAATATTTCAAAAACTAAAAGCATTGTATTTGGGACAAATCATTCACTAAACCCTAAACCTCAACTAAATCTTGTAATAAATAATGTGGAAATTGAGCAAGCTGAGGTGACTAACCTGCTTGGAGTAATCCTGGATTGTAAACTGTCATGGTCAAAACATATTGATACAACAGTAGCTAAGATGGGGAGAAGTCTGTCCATAATAAAGCACTGCTCTGCCTTAACAGCACTAACAAGGCAGGTCCTACAGGCCCTAGTTTTGTCGCGCCTGGACTACTGTTCAGTCGTGGTCAAGTGCCACAAAAAGGGACTTAAGAAAATTGCAATTGGCTCAGAACAGGGCAGCACGGCTGGCCCTTGGATGTACACAGAGAGCTAACATTAATAGTATGCATGTAAATCTCTCCTGGCTCAAAGTAGAGGAGAGATTGACTTCATCACTACTTGAGAGGTATTAATGTGGAATGCACCGAGCTATCTGTTTGAACTACTGGCGCACAGCTCGGACACCCATGCATACCCCACAAGACATGCCATGAGGTCTCTTCACAGTCCCCAGGTCCAGAACAGACTATGGGAGGCGCACAGTACTACATAGAGCCATGACTACATTGAACTCTATTCCACATCAAGTAACTGATTTAAGAAACATGTAAAAATACACCTTATGGAACAGCGGGAACTGTGGAGCAACACAAACATAGGCACAGACATGCATACGCACAATACACACGTACACGTTTTGTATTGTAGTGGTGGAGTAGGGGCCTGAGGGCACACAGTGTGTTGTGAAATCTGTGCATGTATTGTAATGTTTTTTTAATTGTGTAACTGCCTTAATTTTGCTGGACCCCAGGAATATAATTAATACAAAAATGGCTGTGCCCCTGCCCAGTCATCTGAAATCCATAATTAGGGCCTACATTTATTTCAAGTGACTGATTTCCTTATATGAACTGTAACTCAGTAAAATTGTTGAAATTTTTGCGTTTTAATTTTCAGTATACATTACCTTTTGCTGTTGTAAAGCACTATTCTGAATCTACTCAATACAAAAGTTAATGCTGATATCTAGTTGTGACATTACGAACTGCATTTTACTGCATAGGTTGAATTTGTGAACAGTGCAGTTTCAGATTTACTTTGAGACAGTTTAATTCCTTCAGCCCCTGTTTATTAGTATGCTTGTGGTGCTTCAAACACTTCTGCCTTAACCACTGCCATAGACAAATCTAAGAAGGTAAACTGAACAAGTGTTTTGTATTTTGGTGGTTATCGTGTAAACCACAAAAGTTATTAAATAATAAGACACTTATAGTATCTGTTGATCCTTTGAGCACAGTAAGTTAAGTTTTTATATTCATTCCACCTTTGAAAAAAACTATATATTGGCAGATATATAGGTAATCGGTGAATTTTGCCTCCCTAAAATCGGTATCAGACCTAAAAATCCCATATCGGTTAGTTTAGTCCAAACACAAAACTTGCATCATACAAAACATTGCTCCATTATTACATTACAATTTTACATTGATCCTTCATTACAAATATTCAATACTTCATAAATAAGAATGTGTGTGTGTGTGTGTGTGTATCCACAGTCTGGGTTGTCCTGTTATGTGGAATGTTGGCCAGATTTACATTTGCTGTCCTATCACTTTTAATCTCTAAGTATCCTTCAAGGACAATGTTTTTAAGTGGGAGGCAGGCGGCTTTGTTTATTAAAATCAAAACAAGAACAACTTTTACACCTGATTTGGCCAGTACCACTAAATGTTATAATGATTTCATCTTTGCTCTCTGCTACCCCAGATCCGGCCCCACATCGCCACACTGCGCAAATATACTTACGGCAAGCACATCCTGGCCAAGCTGGAGAAGTACTACATGAAGAGTGGCTCTGACCTGGGGCCCATTGGCGGGCCCACCAACGGCCTCATGTAGACCTGTCCTCCCTCCCGTGTCCCCTGACTAAAGCACAGAGTAGGAGCCCACCCCCCCCCCCTTCTTTCTAGTTCTGTAAAGAGGCGTTCCATCAGGGCTGACCTTTGACACACCATTTGTCGTGTCCCCCATTTTGGGGGAATTACCCCAAAAAGTATTAATCTTCACCTAAGAAATGCTGTGACATCTGACCCTGCCACTCTAATGCCATCCATGGAGCTGGTCCCCAAAGTGGCCACGGAGGGGGGGCAGACAGTCTTGCAGGCAATCTCTTCCGGGTAAAGCACAACCCCCCCACCCCCTTGTTTGATGGAGCTGGCTGGTTTTTCGTATATAATCTTGTACATTTTTTGTTTTTTACTTTGTAAATCCTCTGTAGAAAAAAAGATTACTGCGTTTGCTGAAAATGTACAATTCTTACAATTACACCAGCAAGTGACTTTATAAGGCTAAACTTGAGTGATCATTTTAAACAACTTTCCATTTGTTTTTGTACCCAAACTTACTACTACTATCATCTGTTCTAATTAAAAGCCAGGTGTTTAAATATAATATATAAATAATGATCTTTCTACTACCACACAATGATCCCAATGCACAAGCAATGGTGCCCATGCCAAAGCAGCTGATGGATCCATTTCTACTTATAGCACTGCATAGTATGGATAGATTATGAAACCAATCTTTCTCACCGACGATTACTATGTCTCTCGTGCCAATGCGTTAGTCACCCACTGGTCTCTATTGGACCAACTAGAATACTTTGCTTTGGAGAGCTCTGTGCTTAAATTTTTGGGGGTGTGTCATCCAGTTGGCTGCTCGTGATTGCCTTGATTTTGTTGCCTCTGTTTTTTCGCAGACGGGTGTAAGGCCTACTCTTGGTCTTGTGCTGTTGGTGGACAGCTTGCAGTTGGCTTGATTTGACGAGTCAGCTCCAGGCAACGACTGGCATTGTTACTAAACGGTGCACTTTGAGAAATGCATCCATAGGCAGTGATTCCACTAAGCCCCACCTATACAGTCTTACGCAATTATTTGTTTTTGCCGCTCACTCAATGGTTACTTGGGGGCTTACGCCAGACACGGCTACCATAGACGATTATTCTCTTTCAGAAGCAAAGCATGAGGTTGGGTTGTATAGTGAAAGTTTAACCTGGTTGTAATCTTTACATGTAATGACCGTAGCAGGGCTTGGGGGGGGGGTTATGGTTAGGAGCAGGTTAAGCATAGGCATGCTGTGACAGGTTTTTATAACTTGGAATGATTTTTCTTTATCATGTTGTGGGACATCTTATCGGTCTTGTAGTTTGAGATGAACACTGCCCTAGAAACGGTATCTTTATGTACTGAATATTCATCTCTTCTTGCATAGAAGTAGTTTAGCAAAAATGTATAGCATCTTTAAGTATGAGTAAATATGAAATTGTTGCTTTTTTGGTTAGGGGGCTTTTGTGTAATGATGGCACCCTCACCACCTGCAGTTCAGAGGAGTAGTAAGATATGTAAGTGGCTCATTCCAGCTGAGAATATAATTGGGTTTTGGGGATGAGCTAACAAAAGGATCCTCGTTATGGGATTGCGAGACCGTCATAGAGGTGGTTTTAATTTGGTTTATCTTTTATTTATTTTTGCAGTCTGAATATGCAAGTGAATTGGGTAGGAGGGTAGTGGGGCCATCTAAAAAGCTATACAATTCATTTGTAATACTAGTAGTAATGGCTTTTGTTTTTTGCTTCATATGAATAAATTGTAGAAAACATGTAGTATATGTGCAGTTAATAAGTGTAAGTTTATTAGTTGACAAAAAAAATTATAGTTGTGATGTTTGACAGGCCTTGCTAAGTTGGTAGTGACGCTTTTATTTCGTCTGTACAGTTGTACATTTGTAAACGTTGATGCTGTAAATGGGATGTCTTTTACACTTTGGGGGAAAAAATAGCAAAAATGTGCTTTTTGATGTTTGTATTTTCATCACTCCTTTCCCCTCAAATATAATGTATACAGTTTTATTTGATCAAGCGTTATTTTAAAACAAAATATTTTTATGGCTTCACAATCTGACTTGTTTTTTGTTTTTAATCTGTTATGAAAAAGGTTGGCCTCATTTTGTACGCGGAGCTGTATAACATCTCCTGTTGATGTTGTCTTTCTGACGTGTAACAGTTTAAAGGAACACCAATGCTCTGTACTTAAAATGAGGCTGCTTCTGGTCCTCTCTGCTACCATGGAAAACTTCACAGGATATGACTGAATTATTTTTGTACAGAAGAGGGCTGTATTTTGGAACAGCTACTACCTTGTAAGTGAAAGAAATGTAAGATATTGTCAATTATATAAATATGAACATATGAGTTTTGTCACACTGTTAAAGTCATGTACATTTTCAGGTGGCCTTATGTACATTTCCAGATGTTAGATGAAGAGAGAAATACTCAATTTTTTTTGGAAGCAGAATTGTGACTATGTATGATTAAACCGTTCTAACATTTGATTATTTGTTTATTTGCGTTCTTTCATTTCTATATCTTGTTTATGAAGTTGGTGTTGTACAAACTGCAGTACTTGAATTTGGGACTTGAAGTTGTATTGAAATTAACCTGTTTTTGACCAGCAGATGACGCTGTTTGTCAGTCACCAGTTAGCCTCCTTCATTATCAATTGTTTTATAAAGGAGTTTCGAACGGGTTGCTGAATGTTCACATTCACTAGAACAGAAACTTTTATTGGCACGATACAGCCTATATCTATAAGGAAGAAATCATAAATTCCATCAATAGTTGTCTATAACTGTGACAAGCTCACTGTACCACAGGTAACTGCCAAAAAAAAGGAAATGCCTTAATAGGGCGTTGGGTGCTACACAGCTTCAATGCAACTTTGCATATATTCTACAAGTGTCTGGAACTGTTTCGGGGGAATACGATACCATTCTTCCATGATAAATTCCATCATTTGGTGTTTTGTTTATGGGCTCATTTGAGTGGTAAGGCGAAAGCAACCGACTAGACAGGTCGGGGGGTGCATCTGCGACAGTTTTACACTGCTTTTCCAACAGCAAGGCTCAGTGCCCCCTCCCATATCACACACTCACAAACTGAAAATATACTTTATGTATGAACATTGTACAATCATTTGGTGAGAGACGGCCTCAAATCACATTAATTTGTAAACATACACTGTATACACTAATTGCGGCAAAGTTTGTTCCTGTTTTCAGTCACGTTTTTGGGCACGTTCGTGTGGGTCAAACGCCCTAATGGTTGGTTGACAATAGAGCTGCCCACAATGCAGGTGATGGCTGCAGGAGGAAGTTGAAGAGCAACTGTAGAAACTTGCAGTCAATACTTCATGACCTTTGATCACATGATTTTTGTAAAGTTCATGAAGTTGACATATAGGTGAAGGTCAGACAATTTTTATCCCCATAATGCAACAAACTTGGAAAGTAGGACTGGGAATTGCCAAGGACCTCACGATAAAATATCACAATACTTAGGTGCCGATACGATATGTATTGCGATTCTATATGTATACTGATTTTATTGCGATTCGATGTCCCAAACGTATTGCTTACCATATGTCTTCAATAGAGGGACAAGAGAGCATGAGGACACTAGTTTTGATCAGTCATGGAAATAAAAGTGCTGTAAACAAATTGTATCCCTATTTAAAAAGATGGAAACAAGCTATGAAGGAAAAATGCAGTCGTTTTGGTGCAGGTACAGCCAACTAGCGCAAAAATAATATTGTCAAAACGATGTGATATAGTCAAAAATAATATCCCAATATGTAACTATTGATCCCCCCCCCCCCCCCCCCCCCCCCCATCACTATTTGAAAGGTGGTGACCAACGATGGTCACCAACTTGATAAATGTGTTCCGCTCGAACACGGCAACTGTCTCAGGCACCGCTCCAGAATCTCCCGTAAGTGTTCAATTGGGTTGAGAAGGCCATGGCATATGGTTTACATTGTTTTCATGCTCATCAAACCATTCAGTCACCACTCGTGCCCTGTGGATGGGGGCATTGTCATCATATCGGGGCATAGCAGGGGGAAGACTGCCCCCTCTCATTGAAGCCACAAAGTTCAAAGCCGACCGTGAAACTGCAGGCATTGTTTGCAGAAAACACGATCCCCCCATTATAGTGAGTGGAAAAATGTTTCTGTGTAAATAAATAAAACATTTGAAGACAATCATGGTTCCAATAATTGTTTCTAATACACCAGGTCTATGTCCTTGAACCAATTATTTTAAAATCACACACGGAAGTAATTATAAGGATAATTGAGTTGCTAATGGCAGCCTGCAGTATCCCGGTCGGCCTTCAACTTGAGTTACTCAATGAGAGGGGGCATCACTGAGCTAGCCTGCAACGTCACTTCTTGGAATAGCTCAAACTGCGCATTTTATATGATGCCATCTTAACCGACTTCATTTGGCATCAATGTGCCATAGACCCCACAGTGGAGGTGTCATAATACCCATAAAACCTAGTGGTCAAACAGGTAAATGGTTCTAATTGTTTTTCCACCATTCATTTTTCATTAGAAACACTTAAAATAAGGGCTGTGTTTCATGTAGGCTTACTCTGCTGTGACGTTTTGATAACCATGTAAATCTCTCTCGGACAAGGTGATTTTTATCAATATATGAGTCTTTACTCTGATTCGAAAGTGCTAATTAGTGTCAAAGTAAACATCATGCAAAACTACAAATCTCTGCAAGCTCCTGCACGTCATCTCTAGCTGACACCTTTGCTAACAGGTATTGTGTCAATTAAAAACTTGCACAAGACAGTTCACATAATTGTCCAGTTAAAGAAATGTAGCCAATTTATTCATTACTTCATTTAGCTAACATTAGATAGTTAATGCAGAGATTCCTACCTTTGCTTCGATTCGGCAGTTTCGTCCAGATCATAGCATTTGTAGTTCTTTATGATAATCACATTAGCAGCTAATTAGCATTTCATTTTTTTGTGGGTAAATACAGGCAG